GGAGGGCTAGAGGCTATGTCTAGTTTGTAGGTTAAAAAAAATGACAGAGCCAGAGGGCAAAGGTCAACATACCAGCCATTTTCTTCTAACATTGAGTTCAAGTTTTACAGGGAAGAGAGCGAGAGAGAGAGAGTGAGAGCAAGAGGGAAGGAAGGAAAGGAAGGAAGGAGAGGAAGGAAGACAAAATGAAGGAAGAAAAGAGAGAGAGAGAGAAAAAGCGGGAAAGAGTGAACGAAAGAGAGGAAGGAAGAAAGGATGGAAGACAGCGATAGAAAGAAAAAGACAGCGATAGAAAGAAAAAGACAGCGATAGAAAGAAAAAGACAGCGATAGAAAGAAAAAGACAGCGATAGAAAGAAAAAGACAGCGATAGAAAGAAAAAGACAGCGATAGAAAGAAAAAGAACAGCGCTAGAAAGAAAAAGAACAGCTCTAGAAAAGGAAGGAAGGAAGAAAATACAGAAAGGAAGAAAGAAAAAGCATGTTGTTAAATCTTTTTTTTTAACCCTTTGTCACTTAACTTTATTGCTATCAGATGGAGCCTGATAAGTCAGCTTCGTTATAGCACAATGGTAGTGACATTAGGGGTTAGATCGTGCTCATTTAGCTTCATCCCTGGCCACAGCAGCTGGCGAGTCACAGGCCGAAACTGGAACTGATGTAAACGTTGTCGCTTCCAGTTTCAATTTTGCAAACAATACCCTAATGATTCAGAGGCAAAGGAATACCCACATACAGTGCACGCCCTCTACAAAGTGTAGTTTAATGTTGAAACTTAATGTGCTTTTATTTTGCCTTCCCTAGTTCCCCCTTTCCCCCTTCATCACCATACTAATAAATCACTGGGTTTCTGTGCTTTTCTATGCAATGCAGGCAGATCCCAGCTACATAGCGTAAAACAAAAAGGCCAGACATCCCTTTAAAAGGGAATCGGTCATTCCTATTAAGAGCAGAGACAGGTTCTCTTTAGAGAACACTCCCTACCCATTAATACTTGTCACTGTTGCACTTCCCTGCTACTCCATCCTTTTGTTGGAGCTGTTAAGATTAAACCCTGTCTAAGCTCTGTCAGGGCATATGACCGTCCCTTGTATGACAGTGTTCAAGCCTGGCAAAGAGCGGCTAGGGGCCGAGCACTTCCTCCAGGGAAGAAGAAGAGGTCACTTCCTCCATGGAAGAAGAAGAGGTCACTTCCTCCATGGAAGAAGAAGAGGTCACTTCCTCCATGGAAGAAGAAGAGGTCACTTCCTCCAGGGAAGAAGAAGAGGTCACTTCCTCCAGGGAAGAAGAAAAGGTCACTTCCTCCAGGGAAGAAGAAAAGGTCACTTCCTCCAGGGAAGAAGAAGAGGTCACATGCACCCCTACACGTGGAAGCATCAGGTATTTCCCAGGGCTCTGATGGACAGGCAGAATGGTGAAGATCTGGATCATGGAAAGAGTTGAAGGGGTTAGGGGTGGGCTTCAAGAGAACCTGTCACTGTGCCCTGAATGGTGAGAACTCACACATGTTGGAGAATGATTCTGGACATGGGATACATGGTTAGATATCTGATATAAGTCCTTACCTCTGCCAGCTGTGCCCTCAGCCGGTGCACCTCAGATAGCAGCTGCTCCTGGTCGTACATTTGTCTCTCTAGCTGTGCGGTGTGAGCCAGTCTCAGAGCCTCAGCGGCCTGCTGGTATTCCTGTTCCTGTCTCACCAGTTCTTGTCTCATTTCCTCTACCCGCTCCTCGTACATTTGCTTAAACTTGGCAGCCTCGGCGCCCATTGCAGCGATCTGGTTATGTTCCTGCAAGAAAGATGGCATTAAACGGGGCGACCAAACTATCTAATTGTTTCAGGATTTAGGTTTCATGTGATCACTCAATCGAATTAGGCCCCTCCCCTATTTTAGAGCATGATAGTGGGTAGGTAGCTCAAGAAGTGCAGCATGGCTTCATTTGCAGTTAGAATGAGCAGCACGTGCCCTTAATGCATTCCTTTACGTGCATCTGATTCAGAGTATATGTAAACCCAATCATTACAAATTGTATATGTTTTAATATGTTAATAAAACTTAAAAAGTATTTTTTCAATCATTTCTAGACCACAGCTTTCATTAAAATAATCCCTGGTGATCCAGCGATCAAAGTTTATGCTCAGGCGCTTCCTGTTATGTGGTGACGATGCTTATAGTGTTGAATAGAGCACCGGGGGTGAAAAGGGAGGACAAGTATTGGATGCTGGGGGGTGGTAAGTGTAATATGAACCACTGCTTCACTCTGAACATGAAAGCACAATGTCATACATGGTAGGGTTATATAAACCCTAATAATTAACTTCTCTTATTTGCTCCCTTTTGTTCTGTTATGTCTGCTGGATAAGAGCAAAATATACCCCTTGATCCTGTAAGAAATCTTTTTGGCTGATAACTTCCTGTGCTGCACTGTTATCAGTTGCATTGTTCTAGGGATGCAACAACTAATCGATTATGAGAATAGTTGGCAACTATTCTCATTATCGAGAGAGAGAGAAAGAGATCAAGAAAGGGATCGAGAGAGTAGAGAAGACTCTCAGGACTACAGAACTCATTCCCTCTACGCTATGAAGAGGGGGAGGACTTCCATGGCCCTTTTCATGTGTGACAACGTTGTTTCTCTACACATACAGTACACTGAGTAAGCGTTGACGCCCTAGCACAGGAAATGTGTTATTTGCAGGATCGCCAGGTAAAAGTAAAAGGTACCCACACCTAGGGACTAATAAGCGGCCATATATTAAAGTTTATTCTTTGGCTTAGATACACTTTCAGATCAACTGATGTTTTGCAGATTTCAATATTTTTTATTAAGTATTGCACACATAAACATTTTATACAGACAACAAAGAACAATACAAAGAGAAAAAATATTTTTTTCTCTTTGTAGTCTGCATAAAATGTTTATGTGTGAAATTCTTAATAATAAATATTGAAATCTGATGCTTTGCATAAAACACAGGTTCACTTTCAGGACAACTTCTAGCAGATGAGGCAATATCAGATGAATAAAGAATGAAGGGTAACCCCATGACAGAATGACAGAGCAGTACAAGGTACCTCAACCACCTAGATGTCCAACCACTGGCTGGAAGGAGCTGAAAATTCACAGGATTGTCAAACCCGACATATTACATACAAATCCGATGACTGTGAATGATCACCTGCACCCACAAATCAAATCAGAGCAGATAAAGTCCGATGCATTTCTTGGCTGATGGCACCAGCAATACTTACAGCAACCTGGAATATCTGGCGGACACTTCACTCTCTGCTCTACAACATCCGTACTCACGGCTCCTCACACTACCTGTACAAATATTGGTCTTTCTTAAACCAACAACATAATTTCCTACACAAAATCAGCCCTTTTCTCCCAGAATCAAAGGCAGAACCCATTGTTTGATAATTGGAGGCAAAACGGTCATTGAGCACTACAGGGGGAATTTATTAAACCTGGAGCAGACAGAATCTGTATCAGTAGCCCACAATAACCAATCAGCTTCTCTCTCCAGTTTGGCTTTGGAAGTGAAAGACAGAAGCTGACGCCATGCACAGCTGTTCCAGATTTGGTCTGCCCCAGTTTTGATAAATTCCCCTCTAAGGCTGGGTACACACCTAACAACCATCGCAAGACTTTTGTCTTGCGATGGTTGTAAGGTAATTAAAAAAATGTACGATCTGCCCATCTTGGACAGGCAGATCATACTTGCGATGATCGCAAGCCGTGCCCCCCCTGTGGGGCGGGCTTCCGATGACCGCAATGCTGAACAAGCAGTGTGCGCTTGCACACCGGCCCGTCCGGCTTTTATCTTACGAACATGCTACACACCCGCCGAACATCGTACGATGCTCGGCGGGTTTTCAAACATGTCCGTAAGTTAAAAGTCGTGCGACCTTACAGTAGTAGAGGTCGCACGGCTTCCACACACCTTACGATCGCGGGATTTCCCGCTATTATCGTAAGGTGTGTGGGCACCTTAAAACTGTGTGCAAGGAAATAACATGTAGATTTTCTAGAATACCGATTATAGGGATGAATGTGAGTAGAGAAGAGAAACCTGGAGGACAGTCACATTCTTTGCTTCATATATAGAGTGCAATGTAATGTTGAAGTGACACTAAACTCACTTACATTTTAAAAATAGATTTTTGTTAGTTACGGTAGTAGAATGTATCTTATTTGTGTATCACTCGGCTGTAGATCCTCAAATCATCTCTGAATTGGTGCTGACACTGTCCTTCCTTCTGGAGGGGGCTATTTTTGTTCCCCATGGTCCCTGATCGAGTGTGATGGACTACAATCTCAATACAAATGAGTAAACTAAACATGAGATTGTAGTCCATCACAGGAGTGAGCTTGGAGCAGTGACTACTTTACAACACACACAGGGACCATGGGGAACAAAAGTAGCCCTCCTCCAGAAGGAAGGACGGTGTCAGCACCAATTCAGAGATGATTGGAGGATCTACAGCCGAGTGATACACAAATAAGATACATTTTTGTTAATAGATACGGTAGAAGAATGTATTTTTAAAATGTAACTCCGGAGATTAGTTTTATTTAAAAGCAGAACTACAGACATGACAACAGTCTGGAGGTGAGGTAGTGTCACAGAGCTGCAGATACTAACAAGTGTTGTTAAAGGAGAACTATGGGGTCAGTGTTTTTCCCCATAGTTCTCCTTAGGGTAACGGGAGGACACAAACTAGCGTCCTCCCGTTACCCTAGGCTCAGTATACCGCGAGCTGCAGCTCGCGGTATACTGAGACGCCGCAGCCGGAGTGGATCCCGACTTAGATGACGTGATCCGCCCAGCTGCGTGAGTGACAGCTGGCCCTGCCTCTCTAGAGGCAGAGCCCGCTGT